ACTGACCGGCTAGTTAGTGTTGGCTTTAACTAGCACAGTTTGTGCACAGGAGAAAAGATGACTGTGGGTCCCAGCAAGTCAGGAAGAGGACTGGTTCGTTCCTGGTGAAGCGCTAGTTCTGAATAGTGATTCAGCTGTCCACAGTTCCGACCTGTTCACGAGGCTTGCTGCTGGTGCTAACCTCAGGTGGATCCTCTGGTTACTCTCTGGCAACCTCTGCTCTAGACTCTTAGAACAAAGGAAAGTTCTGGCACTCGGACACACTGGCCGTTCCTTGGTTGTTCGGGCTGAGTCTCAGGATGGTCAGGAGGCGCACTGCGAGAATGTCTTGCCCTTGGGAGCCTTCTGCTCCTGGGCCGTCCTGCCCTGGAATTCTCCTTTGAATTCCCTTTAGAAAAGTCCACAGAATCCTCTCCAGAATCTTACTGAATCTTCTGAATCTCTCATGCTCTCTGTGTTGCCCGTTTTTACCCTGAGGAACTTCAGCTCGTTGATTGGCTGAAAGTTCCATGGGCATCAGAGTCCCATGTGTGATACTCGGCTCTACGAGTCCCTGATTGGTTGATCAAGGTGAGATATGAGTCACTTACTCCTGACACTTAGTAATGCAGTCCAGATGTCCATCTGGCACTCCCTAGACAGATAGGTGCCAATGGATGACCATTGATCATAATAGCCAGGCTTTGCTAAGTGCATCCCCATTTGGGAGCTGTCCCTTATCAAAAGAAAACATCTTTAAATCAGCCTGCATGAATAGTTTCTCTGTGGCTGCACAACAGAGATGAACAGAGAGATGAGGCCTCATTTGGGAAAACACAGCAACACTTAATTCTGTTTTATTAACAAGCATTGCCGCTACAGCAGGATTTGAGCTACAGACCACAAAAAAACAGGATTCACTTTTTTCACATATTGATGATAATGATATCAATAGCAGTTTGAAAATATTCATTGTTATTAATAAATGTCTTAGATTCATATTTTTCATATATTTAGAAATATAAAAAAGTCAATAGAGTGTCCATAATATTACTATTTTAGTTTTTCAAGAAATGTAAACTAAATAAAAGAAAACCCGTGGTGATATGTGTATATACTACTGTTTGTGTTACAGTACATATATATATACATATATATGCATATATATATACAGAATATAATTATATCAAAGTGGAATATCCTGCTTTGCACACATCAAGACAATATCCAAAACAACTTTTACAGGCTGGCGGTTTCTCTCTATAAATGAAATGTTAGCATCCCCCTGTAGTTGATTTAGCTCTGTCCCACAGCTGTGTGAGGCATGGCCACCATGTATGCCTCTGACTTGCTAAGTGCTATATGATGCTCTTTACTGTTCTTATTTTTTTAACAAGCCTGTCTAAAATAGTTACAATTTTTAAATCCTTCTCTACTGAACACTAACTTGGAATGCATCTCTGGGAAGTGTCTGCAGACTTTGCAGTACACTGTATAGGGGTTTTGTGCATTTACTGGTACAATTATTAATTGTTGCAGTAAGCCACAAAATGATTCTTTGATGGCTATTAGAAAACCAACCTTGCAAAATAACTCAGCAATGCACACACGAATACTAATGCATTAGAATACATTTATTAATACATAAAATGTGCATATAAACATAACAGAACTTACAGTGAGGGTTAGCAAAACACAAAAGGTATGCAGTATTTTCAATTACAAGGAGTTACAAACCAAGAGAGACATATATTCAGTATACCATTCATTTATGCCGTTTCGTTTAATGAGCTTTGATTACAACTTCTACACTACTCAAAAAGCAAGTATGTAACTCATAGGAATTAAATTGACATCAACTGGGGTTGAGGTAACAATTGAATTTTCGAGCTGTAATGCAGAATGTTGAATACTTATTCAATCTGTGTGGATTCAGATCTCCCATGGACACAAGGGAACAGCAACAGGCTGTTGCTGCATCCAATTAGCATCCTGTGGCCCAGTGCCAGGCTGTCCTGGTTCGGCGTGAGGTGGGGGAGAAGGAGGGAGAGATTCCTGCTGTGGCACTCTGGCAGTGGGCTCTCTGAAGACCAGCTAGTTAGTCTTGGCTGAACTAGCAAGTGTTTGTGCACATGAAAAAGTGACTATGGGTCCAACAAGTCACACTCTTTAGATGGGAAGAAGACCGGTTCGTTCCCGATATAACGCTAGTCCTGAATGCTGAAATTCAGCTGTCAACAGTTCCAACTGTAGTTCACTCGTTGATCAGGCGAGCGTTTGTGGTGGGGTTCCCAGCGGTTTACGAGGCTTGCTGCTGGGCTAACCTCGGGTGGAACATTTGGTTACGTGCGGGCGACCTCCGGTCTCGACTCTTGGAACAAAGTAAAGTCCTGGCACTCATACTCACTGGAGTCACGTGATTGTCTGAGCTAAGTCTAAGAATGTTCTGGAGGGGCACCTTCTGGGTCCTGTGCTGTCTCTTTTATCTGGAGGAACTACGGTCGTTCATTGGTTGAAAGTTTCACGGGCATTTGAGACCCACGTGGGGCTGTCCTGCCCTACCAGTTCCTGATTGGCTGATTGAGGAGGGGGATGAGTAACAATGCACTCTGACCTTAGGGTTGTTAACCTTAGGATAAGACTCTCCCTTGGAATCTCCCAGACAGTAAGGCACCAGAGATGACCATTTATTAGGGTGGCTGGAGAATCTCAGCCTTGGTAGTTGTTCCTTATCAGGAAACTCTATCAGACAGAAAAACACCTTAAATCTGAACCAAATGGAATGGCCTCTCTGTGTCCAGCACCACTGAGATGAGGGAGAGAGGGACTGGCAAGGGAGCAGCAAACATAATACCTGTATTATTAATAAGCCTTGCAGCTACATCTGCATCCTTAGCTATACTGTATTCTAGCCATTTAAATTGTTCATATTACTTTATCAAAAAACACCGTGCCTTTCCTAGTGTCATTGCTGGGAATGATTGCAACTTGGGTTGAGTGTCTGGTTCATCAATGGCAGACAAATCTGTTGGTGGTCTTGTCACTCGTCTTTTGAGGCTGAAGGTAGACTCGCCTCAGATGAAGAAATTATGGTTGTAGTGTTCACCCCCGTCATCTCCACAGCAGCCTGTAGCATCTCATGTGTCTTATCATTTGTTTCGGGGCTGATCTGGTAGTTTAAACGTGGCTTTTTGAAAAACATATATTCATTTGTTTTGACATTGGCTATTGAACTACAAACCTAGCACAAGATAGCTCTAAGAGTGTCTGATGATGACGATAGCCAATTAGGTTACAGCTACGCATGCACTGCCCCACTGCAATTTTATTATTGGTTAAAAAAAATACAGTGAGCCAATAGTAAATTAAAATCAAATCATGTAACATAAAAAAGCAAATCATGTAACGCAAACAAGAAATCACACACACAAAAAAAATGTAATTACCTTGAATTGATTGGGTAGGCCTAGGATCAATCAGGGTGGGCCACTGGTGATAATGGATTGTTCATGAAAGTAGAGGCACTGGATCTTTAGTAAAGGCATAGACACTGAAAGCAGTGACATTTGATTTTTATCAAGTCAAACACAGCATCTTTCATGAGTTAAACAGACATAAATCTGTACCAAACAGTCAGGAGCTCATTTTCAAATCTCATACAAATTGTAGCAACTTCTACAGCATAGTGGTACCTATTACAATATTGGGGATTCATTTGGAATTTGTGGTCTACACGTTCAGAGAAGAATGCTACGTACTTTTGCACAACACTGATTACAGCAGCAGTCTAGTTTTCCTTAGAGTATGGACTAATCCTAGTCCAAGAGGCCCACACAATATTGGTTTTGGTTTATTCCCAGCTGTAAATTACACAATTAAATTCATTATTTAATAATAGGATCAATTTGAGCTATTACTGCAAATCCAATCAAGCAACTTGTTAGTTCAATTATAGCTTCAATTAGGTAATTAAGCTTATCTGGAATTAAAACCAGCAGATGTGTGGTCCTCTATAAAGGATCAGGGACCCCTGCCTTAGAGGACTCATACATCTCACTACTGATGAGTTTCAATTTTGTTTAACTTCTGAAATCTAATTCTAAGGCTATGAATTGGTAATGATTTAAGTTTAATTTACTGAGAAGCATTAAAAACACAACTTAATGTTATTGGGTTCAACACTTCTTTGTACCTTTTCTTATAATTAAAATGAAAATCAGTACAATTCACACATGTTCTTGTTGTGTGGCTTCTTCTCAGCTAGTATTTGATCCATTATATCTCAGGTATCTTCTAGCCACCTGAAGTTGCTTAGCATACAAACAGTATTTAGTGAACCAAAAGACAGGTCCAGTAATGCTGGCTTGAATTATGAAGATGATGAATATCATCACATAACAACAAGTAGTATACCAGTATGAAATCTTTCTCTAAAATGCATTTTAGAAGATTGATTATTTTATAAGCTTTTTACAGTGCTGCATATAGGCATTTTTTTTTAAATCAGTGCTGTTTTTGTGCGTGTGTTTCTCTTCCATATGTCAATTAATAATCATTGAGCTATATTACACCTGGTTGTGGCAGCTGTCAATTGGTAGGCAATAATGTCGTTGGTTGACACTGATTATACCGATTATATACTATATAGACAATAATTAGGTATTATGTATAACATGAGAGTACATGCAGTCTATTGTGGGGGGATTGCTGTTATTATTGAAATCTAAGTTAGTTTGGTAACCCTATCAACATTGACTGTAGATGCAACTTCCCTTCTGTGTTGTTTTATTTCAATGAAGAACAAATTGTCATCTAATATGAGGTGATATTACCAAGACAAACTGTTAGTGATTAATTCATGCTGTAGAATGGAAATAATATGCAATATGTAGAATTTGTAATTAATGCAGGCTGACTTATAATAATCACACAGGAACGTTGACGGACACTTAAACATTTGTAAGAATTATTAAAACGTATCATTGTGAGATGGATGATCATGATTTTGTGCTTTTTTTCAGATGTTCCATCAAATCCCTATGCAGTGCGGCTGAGCTCAGTATCTCAGAGATGGGCCACCGTGTCCTTCATGAAACCAGACTCTCATGGAGGAGTACCTATTGGACACTATCTGGTCAAATACAGGGATATCGGGTTGCAGGACTGGAGAGATGTCAAGTCAAATGGTGTTCAGAGTAAGTGCACCAAGTTGAGCAGTACTGATCCAGCTCCTTGCTACTAATCTACTTAGGAAATGATGACCTTAGTTGTAGCACTCAGCAGGCCACTGGCCTCACTGGCCTAAGCTACTGTAGGCAAGTTCAGCTGGGGTTTGCTGTGATATGGTAAAATATATTATTCTTTTCCCAGGCTGAAGAAATGCTGCCAAAATTAATATTAATATTGTACATGCATTAAATCATTAAAAGATAATGTAAAGAATAAATAAATTATGGCTTTTAGTAATTATTATAAGCATGGCAAATAATCCTCATGTTAAAGTCAGTTCTGAATTTTGTGAAGAATTATGTGATTTTGAAACAGAATGAAGTGGAAGTAAATTTTCAAAAACAGGTTATGTCATAGCTGTGTTTTTAGTTTGGTATCAACAAGTTCAAAGAAAAAAAAATACAGTAATGAACATGACAAAAAAAAATGAAATGCTATTAACGTTTTTATGTTCACACCTGCCCATTCTAATATACTGTTCACATGAATACTTAATCTTTTGGTGGAAATATAGGGACTTGAATAGCTCTGTATATCTGTCAGAGGAGAGAAAGTAAAGCTTAATTCCCTTCTGAAATTGGAGGGGAATCACAGGAATCTGCCAACACAATAGGATCTCCATATTTAATTCCCCCAATATGTCTTTAGCTTGTAATGCTATCAACATGACAGAAAATTGTCTAAAAGCCAGTAAATCTAAATAAGGCAGAATTATTTTTGACAAAATCAACATAAATACACAAGACAATGTAACCAAACCTTTTGAAGCAATAGGTTATCAGTTCCCATCTAATATTAATGTACAAATAATCATCTGATAGAATATTAAATGTAAACAACTGTTTAGTTTATTTTTTCATCCTGCATTAGTCTTCCATTTTCTACTCTACTCAGAAACTGTTTACACCTTTTGTTGTTTACTAAGCTTCAAAGCCTTGATCAGAGAGGATCAGCAAACAGCAAACTTTGATTTTAAGTCCTAGATGTTGTTGCACTTAGGGAAAGAATGAAGTGGCTCCCCTCCTAGAGTATATGTAAAGCACTTTGGTATCCCTTGGGATGAAACAAACTACTGTACATAAATGCAAAGAGATTATTATCACTACTTTTTAGTTTTTTGCTTAATATAACATGAAGCTATAGAAATCACTTTAAACTTGAAAGATTGAGCTATTTGCTATTTATGAAGACATAGCTGATTAGGACCAAATTGTTCTACACGAATATGTATGAGCAGTTGTAATAGCTTTAATGCTGTGCTACTGGGTAAAGTAGTGATATGTGCAATTGATATTTCTATGTAAGTGCATGTTCAGGGCCTATTTTTTGCACTAACAGTGCTAATGACACTGTTATTAAAACTGCATTATACAGAAGAGTATTATTTGAAACTAGCTTGAGGGTGGTGAAAAAAGATAGATTTCATCACATAAAACATAATTGTATTTTATGATCTTTGAAAGACTAGCTAGGGAAATATAAACCGTACAATATTATGTGGAGTTCCTTCACATTCAAAAAGATTTATTTCACCTGCCACCTTGTAAATATAAGTAAATCCTGTACAAACTGAGATAGAACCTCAATAGATTAGGACATCTTCCTTTGACATATCACTAATTATCAAATTACATAGTGACATACTGTACTGTCATAGACTTTGTTTATAAATGGGATTCTTTTCTATATCACTTTTTTGTGTTATGGGAGGGACAGTAGCACAGTGGTTAACATTGCTGCCTTGTAGCACTGGGTCCCTGGGTTCATTTGCTGAGGTGCTGTATTTTTGAGGAGTTTGTATGTCCCCCCCATGTTCATGTGGATTTCCATGAGGTGTCCCAGTTTCTTCCCACAGTCCAAAGACATGGTGGTAAGTTTATTGGCTTCTGTAAAAATCAGCCTGATGTGAAATGTGAGTGCTTGTTTGAGTGCTGTCCTGCTTGTATTCTGCTTGTGCCTGGTGCTTCAGGGGATAGGCTCTGGGCTACTGTGAACCTTTATTTGATAAGTGGTTATTAAAAGTGATGTGAGGATGTTTTGAGTTATGTTTCATTTCAAAAGTTAATATATAAATGAGTTATTTAACATACTAAACATAATTGAATATTTTAATGGTTTATTGTAGTGTTTTAGACCTATGCAGATTGTATACCAGATTTAGCAGCACCAGCACCTGAAGAAGAAGTAAAATTAAATTAAATTAAATTAAATTAAATTGGTCCCATTATGCCAGTAAGAAGATAATCGAGCTTGTTAAGAACCAAGTTCAAATGAAAACCTGCAGAGACAATGGCCTTCCATGACTAGGATTGTATTATGCCTATCTGGTCGTCTTTCCATCTATTTCTCTCTTTCCATCTTCCTCATTCCATCTACTATTGATATTTCCATCTGATATGTACTTACAACTCATGCAGATTGTATTTTTCTCTGTGGCATCAATGCTTACGTTTTTTTCATTTAAAACATTCCCACTTCAAACTCCTAATGAAATGCTTGAATTGCCTTATTTCACTGTTTGTTGCATTTGTTAGTGAGCTCATTTAAAATACATTACAGCATTAAATTAAGCAATATCTGTTGCACTTAAAACATGCATAATAAAGTGATTTGCATGTACTACTAAAGGCTTAATGATGAGCAATTATCCAGTCCATGTGTTAAAATGGTTTGCATTTTAACATATAAACAATGGATAAATTTTAAAAAAAGATTGCTTTAACACCCTTTAAGATAAGTCAATTTCAGGGGAACAATAGTAAAATAAATTATGCTTAGAAGAAATGTTATGCTATTTTAGTATGAATTTACAGAAATGTCCTTAATATTTGCACACATCCATTATAACAGTGGGTTAGATGAATGGACTTTGGAAGACACAACTTAACAAGGAACGGATGTCAACCCAATAAAGTGATTCTGTCTGAAGCTCAGAACAGATTTATCCCACAAGTGAGTAAATGAAAGCAGGCAGGCAGTAGGCCAAATTGTTAAATAAATCAATGATGAAGAATATAAGAAGAAAGAAAACACTTTCTAAAGCGTTAAAAAAAGAACACGGTCCACATAAGGAAAAGAGCTACAGTGAACTTTAGCATAATGTGGCGCAAGCACAGCTCAAAAAGTTTGTTAGAAAGCTCAAGAGAGTGATACAAAGTAATATTGCAGTGAAGACTAAAACAGTAATTTTTAGTAATAAAATAGCAAAGGAAAGTAAAGGATGTAGTAAAATGTACAGAAGCAGAAAAGAGAAATAGAAATAAATGTAAAAAATATTAAATTGAAAGAAAGAATGAAGATCTTGTTGAGAATGTTGACATCCTACAAGAACAAGTAAATCTTGAAGTAAGATTTAAAAACGTCAGCAGTGGGTTTTTTCACCAGGGGTTTGATATGATGAGGAAGTGTATCTAAAGATGAGGGGCTATCACTCATCATTCACCAGGTATGAACTAATGACTACCAATAAGAATCTGACAGATAATTACCCAACATGTAAACAAAGCTGGCAAAAGCAAAAGCAAAGCCTATAGTGGAAGTACTGTCTCTAATCACAATGAATGACAGCAATTTGAACCAATTAGATCAGCTTTTTAGATCAGGTGGTATTTTTTTTAAAAACCCAAAAGCCAATAGTACTCAGTTGTCTCCAAGCCTAGAGATGAGTGTAGTCTCTCATATATGGATATACTTTTTATAGTTTCTTTGCATATATTTTACATAAAAAATACAACTTTTGCAATTGTATATGCTGGGTTATTGATAAATTATCAACGGACTTTGGAACTTTCCTGAACTGCATTTTCAGATTAATTAAGTGATTGCTTTGTCATATTTTGAATTGGGAAACAGCCTATGAAGCTCTGGTTATCTTGTTTCATTTGATACAAGGTTTGTTTCGATGTTTTTTTTTTAATATGCTGGTGAAAATGTATTAAATATGCTTATTTATTTGCTTGTTGGTGTAGATTATTTATATTTAAAGGGGAGTTCCAGTTCGAATCAAAATCAGTCCATGGTACACATTATAAATAAATATTCCTTACATCTCTATAAATCGAGAAACTTTCCAGTAATCTCTCCTGGGTTTCTATCTGTAACAATTTCTTAATATACACTGGACCACTGAGGCTAGTTCTACACCTTATCAGAAGTCACATTCCAGTATATCATCTTCTGTATGCTGCATAATCTTCTCAGACTATTTTGAAGGGAAGCACAAGCCTCTAACAAGTCATTCATTACTTCAAGCATTTATTTCCAACCTACTGTATCTATTTTACGAACATATATATTAATCTCAGACAACCATAACTTCATTACTCTTTGAAAAATTAACAGAGAAGGACTTGCCACTGATTCCTATACCACATCCTCAATGCACTATTTAAACTGACTGGTATTAAATAATATCTAGTCATTTCTTGGCAGAGTACTCTTCCTTGCCCATCGAGGACTCCTTATGTCTGCTTGTAATCCCCTGAGTGCTTTTCTCCTGACGTTATGAAGTTTACATCAAATCCAAACCCAATGTGCTGTATATCTGATATACTGTAAATACTGTACAGTATATGAATCTGATACAATGTTATGGGGTCCTCATTTGTTCTCTTTCAGCAGTATTTCTTTGTTTCCCAAACATTTTCTCTCTAGATAATTTGGAAATATTTGTAAAGCTTCTCTTGAACCTTTCACTTCACTCTTATGCATCCAATCTGCAAAGCATACCATCATTTTTCATCAATATTTGAGTTTCTCTTATTAATTTTGGGGGCTCTCGGAGCCCCATTCTTATGCATTGGTGTTTGTTCTTATCCAGGCAGGTTACCCCATTAATGGTCATTTTTTTCTTATCATGTTTTTAGTTTGCTTTAATTAGGGTTTTAATGACCTGATGAAAATGTGTTGATTTTATACATATTCACTTTTACTACAAACAAAACTAACTAAAGTTCAGGTGCACAGA